TGGCTAAGTACCTCATCATCTCGTATGCTCCCAAGTGGCCTGTGACTCAGAGGCTGAAGTGGAGCTCCCTGGTGGCGAATTGTCTGGTGGTGAACTACCTTGATGAGCTGCTTGGAGGTGAGCTACCTTGATGACGAGCTGCCTGGAGGTGAGTTACCTTGATGACGAGCTCCCTAGTGTAATGCAACTCGACTGCTATCGGCAAGAGGTGATCTGGCTACCAGTAACGACGGGAACTGAACTGGCTACTCCCTCCTGGCGGTGATCTGTTCATCTTTGTAAGCGGCGGGAGCTGAGGGACCTGCGAGAACCAAATTAGAGAACCCGGGGGTGTTTACCCGGTGAGGTCACTCCGATGGCTAAGTTAGCACAGTATAGTAGTAGAGAGATTGAAGATGATAAGAGGATGAGAGAGCTAGAGAGCAGAGGTTACCCATCCCTTTGTTCATCATACCTTCGCCCCTGGGGGGTGAGGTCTTATACTGGAGTCCTCATGGGCTAGGTGGAGAAGTTCTTGGATTCCAGCTGTGATGGGACTGGCTTGCGTGTTAGGTGGGTGAAATGCCATCAAACGGTAAAACTATCCCTTCTTGTCAGAACGGAGGAGTGGGTGAGCTAATATAGCCGTTACAAGTCACAATCCTGTAAAATGTGGGGTATGGAGGTGTGTTCCTCGAGGTTGTCAGGTTGGCACCTGTGTCAGGCCGCCAGGTCAGTGCCTGGGCCAGGCTGCCAGCTCGTGCCAGGGCCAGGCTGCCAGCTCATGCCAGGGCCAGGTCGCGCCAGCTCATGCCAGGGGTCAGGCCACCAGGTCGCGCCTGTGGGACACCATCAACTTAGCAAAGGTAAGTTTTGTCAAAGTGGTCTCGGGTGTCACCTAGTTGTTCTGAGGTGCCAGGCTACATGAGGGTGAGCTACCTATGGCGAGCTGTTTGTGGCGAGCTGCCTATAGCGAGCTCGAGCTGTCTAACTGTCAAGGGGCTGCACTTAGTTGGCACGAGGTGCCAGGTGTCACAATGTTATTGGAGGGCCAAATCCACCCTCATCAATGCTGAGAACCTTCTAGTGGGTGTTGTTCCCCCAAATATGACCTCTAGGTTGTTATACTTTAGGCCACCCACATTATGAAACCTTTCAGCCTTGGGGTTAGCCTAAAAAAAGACACTAGGACACCAATCAATTTATATGTAATGTCTTGAATTTAAAAATTTTAAATAAAATTACATAAGTTTAACGAATACCGATAAATAGTTATCCCATGCCTCCGATGAGGCTACAACCATCTACTTCTCTTCATCCCAACCATCTACTTCTCTTTAAATCTTGTATCTTGTTACTAAATGATTTCGTGTTGAACTTCTGCCCAACTTGTGTGAAAAAGCTCTGCCTCACTTCTTTTCAAGCAGCTGGTTTCAAACAACTTGCTACCATCCCCCCACACTAGACTTGTTGTACAAGTAAATCTATGAAAACATTTTCTTGCGCACGTGTCCAGTTTGCATTTATGGTGGAGGCATTTTCAAATGATGTATTAGCTACACTAGTCACCATCAAATAAACTTTTGGTTACTGACACAAGTTTGTATGGGCATATATCTTGCTTATAAATCATAGCTCAACCATATGTAGATTGCTTTTATTTATTTCTACTTCTATTCACTACCATGGAGTGCTTAGGGCTTAGGGTGATCATTTACCCAATTAGTTGCTTGCTTCTCAAAGAATGAGACTGAGATTGAGATGTGCTGTATGATTCCAGTCATTTTTTTCTTTTATTTTTTATGTTGTTTTTTCTTATTTATATTGTTTGATAGAAAATAAGAGATTAAGAGATAAACAAGAACTTGAGGGAAAGTTCTTAGGAATTTTTTGAGTGCTATTGGTGGCAAAAACCAACAAGACCCGGATTGGCTCTGCTTTGAGGGAAAGTTCTTATAATTTATCCAAAATGGTCTTACGTGGCAAAAACCAACAAAGAGTGTCTAATAATGCAGAAGTGATTGGCTCTGCTATTGGTGGGTGGCACCATTTTGTCTTTCTTGTACAGAGTTTCATCAAAATAGACAAATAAAACATATACTATGGGCTATCAACTTATCACCCAACAAACAACAATAAAACCTCAATTTTGAACCAATACAAATGGTGGGGAATGATCTATTAAATAATCCATCAATTGAATGGCTAGCTACCTATAATTTCATTGGATTGAATCCAATTAATAGATTTATATGTAATTTGAAGAAAATGAAAATAAGAAAATTGTTTTTAATATACAATAGTTATACCAAGATAAGAAAGCCGTATACAGGATTATAGGCTTTGCCTAAAACGACTTGCATATTATGAATTATGATTTCTCTTGTGTAGTCTCCTCTGTGTCTACAAATCTTTAAGTCAAAAGCCTTATGTAACCAGAGTCGAATTTTCACAAGAGTAAATAGTATCCTCTTGCATCACAAGCTCATAGATCGACATTCATTTTCTAAGAACAATACAGATGAATATAAACACAAAAAAAAAAAAAAAATCAGTGGTTCCCATATCAAACCATATACTACACTACCATACTCGCTTTAATCTATTCGTAGCACAACAAATTAGGACAGATGTGTTCATATTAATCCATACATGACACCGCAAAATGGAAGGATGCATTAACATTAAACCATATAAAACACAAACAGAAAACAAATTGACTAACAAAAAAATGAAATTGTTATGAACTGTACCTACGCAAACCCACAAAAAATGAAATTGTTATGAACTGTACCTACGCAAAACCACAAAAGACGAAACAAGAAAAAAACCCTAACAATCCATATTGGGATGTGAGCTGTACCTACGCAAACCACCAACCGAACGATGGACGACCACTGCCCTGAAAATCTTTCTCCAGGGCTTCTAAACAAACAGAATACGGCACGAAAAAACTTGCCAAACGGGCCAAAGTTATTCCCTTGTCTTGTCTAATGTCTATAGGACTGTCAATATCGAGGTATTGGATTTCAATTTTGTTATAATAATCCGATACCCAACTAAAGAGAATCCAATTTCAATATAATTATGTGCAATTTGATCAAGTAACACCAACACTAATTTTTTCTCTTTTACTTTTAATGTCAAAATCCAATTTAATAAATCAAATCGACAGAATCCAATCAATCCATCGACAGCCTCACTAGAAATCTGCTGCCCTCTTACTGTTTGCCATTTAGGAGTGGAGTGGAGTGGAGTGGAGGACTCCCTCACGCATCTACAAGTTCAATGAAATCTGCTGCCTTCTGATTTCTTAATAATCCATTGTCTGTATCCCTACGGATTGATTGTTGGCTCGAGTTGGCGTGTAGGACGGGAAGGGAAAAAAATAATATTATTGAACTTTCTGTCTTTTTCATGTTTGGTTTGTGTCCGTGTAATATCATGAGATTCGATAGAAAAAAGGTAAAATTATAATTTTCGCTTTTTTTATAGATATAGGTTTTGATGAAATCAAGTATAAAACACCCGTATGATTGGAATAGATGATCTGTAATGCTTTTTTTTTCGAGTAGTAATTTGGAAAAAAATATTCTCTCTTTTTTGGATTAAAGTTTGAGGATTAAAAAAAGGGATTTTTGGGTAAATTACATTTAACTTTGGGTAAATTACAAAAGCTCCTTGTCTCTTTTCATCTTAAATTATAAAAATTATCCACTCCCTTCTATAATAAATTAAGAAAAATTAAATAAATCATAAATTTATATCTATCAAAAAAGAGACCAGATTTGCTTTTCACACCTGGTGCCTCACATGTACACCGTAGCATACATTAGAAACATCTCCCGTTCTTATTAATTATTATTCACATGAGATGTTCCCAAGGTGGATGTGTATGTGAGGCACCCATTTGTGAGGAGCATATCCCGTCTCATAAAAAAAACTTTTACTATTTCATTTAATTATTGAATCTAATAAAAAATATGGATTGATCATGATTAGACCTGTTCATGGGCCGGGTCGGGCCGGGCTTTTATTGTGTATTAACAAATTTTTTTAAGGCCGGAGCTCGAGCCCGGCCCGACCATCGGGCCTACAATTTGGGCCTGAGCCCGGGCCCGAAATTTAGCCTATATTATTATTATTATTATTATTAATGTTGAAACAGCTGAATAAAGAGAGAGATAGATTGAAATTATAAAGAAAAGAATAATATATATATATATATTAAATTATAAATATATATTTTAATAAATATTATATTATTTATATATTTTATATAATATATAAAATATATATTATATATTTTATAAAATATATAATACTGAGTCGGACCAGACATTTTTGACAAATCCCGAACCCGGCCCGAAACACAGTCAGGCTTACTGTGTTAAGCCCGAGGTCAGGCCCGCGGGCCTAATTATATGACCAAGCCCGGCCGGGGTGCAGGCCGGGCCGTCGGGCTACCCGGCCCATGAACAGGTCTGATCATGATTCGATTTACCTTTTTTTTTGTTGAATTTGGATAACTCTATGGCGATGGATTTTTCGATCAAATAATCGAATTTGAATCACCCCTTACTGATTTAAAAAGATTTTGATGAGATTTTTTTTTAAATGACGCAACTCCAGGGGCTATTTATTGTAAAGTGAAAGTTGCGGGGTATTTGTCACTCCTTTCGATATAGTAATAATAGATACTATTGTGCGAAAACTATAATGCTCTGATCCTTTGATTGTTTGACCGGTTTCTATCGTTCACGTAACTCCTTGCGTCACTCGCATGATGTTTGTTTATTTTTTTGGGAAATACTCAAAATTAGTACCTGTATTTTGGGTCGAGTGATACCTTGGTTTTCTAACTTTAAGAAAAAGACAATTCAGTACTACATTAACTGGCATTTGAAAAAGACGTAAATATCTTTTAATTTTTTTGGAGTCACATTTGAGTAGACACGGTGATCTCTTGAAACCGTTAATTTTTTTATCAATTTTTTATCAATATTTAGATGATCTCAACCTTGCTTCTTCGGACACTCTCTCCGGAGTCTGGTATTGTGCCGTGGACATGGCGTCTCTCTCTTCTGTGGCTAACAATAATGAGCTTCACGTAGTGATGTTCCCATGGTTAGCTTTTGGGCACATGATGCCGTTTTTGGAGCTCTCCAAGCGTTTAGCTGAAAGGGGTCATCGCGTCTCTTTCGTTTCCACACCCAGAAACATCCAAAGACTCCCCAAGATCCCTCCAAGCTTATCATCTCTCGTGCATCTGGTGGAGCTCCCCTTGTCTCCCACCGACGGTTTGCCGGAGAACGCAGAGGCAACTGTTGATCTCTCATACCACAAGGTCCAGTACCTTAAGAAGGCCTTCGATGGGTTGGAGGGACCCTTGACTCGTTTCTTGGAGAGCTCATCCCCAGACTGGATCCTTCACGATTTTGCGCCTCACTGGTTGTCGCCTATCACAGCGAAGCTTGGCCTGCCTTCTGCTTTCTTCAGTCTCTTCAATGCATCGGCACTTGCCTTCTTTGGGCCTCCGAATGCTTTGTTGGGTGGGGATGATGACTGTCGGACGAAGCCGGAAGACTTCACCGTTCCGCCCAAGTGGGTCCCTTTCCCATTGGCGTTTCGCCTCTATGAGATCCTTAGAATGGTCGATGGCTTAGACCGGAATGCTTCAGGTGTCTCCGACACCTACCGAATTGGATCAGCGGTCCTAGGCTGCGATATTGTGGTCATTCGAAGCTGTATGGAGTTCGAATCCGAATCCGATTGCTTACGTCTCCTCGAGGAAAAGATCTACTGCAAGCCAGTCATTCCGGTCGGTCTACTCCCTCTGGCGGCACCAGCAGTGAAAGATGCCATGGGTGAGGATGACAAGTGGCTAGACCAACAGGGGCGGGGGTCGGTGGTTTATGTTGCATTCGGGAGTGAGGTAACACTGAGCCAAGAAGATGTGACGGAGTTGGCTGTTGGCCTAGAGCTTTCTGAGTTGCCATTCTTCTGGGTGTTAAGGAAGCCATCCAGCTTGACCCAGGAAGAGTGGGGACTATTACCAGATGGGTTTGAGGAACGAACCAAGGGTCGAGGGGTGGTGTGTAGGGGTTGGGCACCACAGCAGAGAATCTTAGCACACCCATCGGTTGGTGGATTCTTGACCCACTGCGGTTGGAGTTCGATAATCGAGGCACTTGAGTTCGGGCATGCATTCATTCTACTGCCCTACTTGGCAGACCAAGGGTTGAATGCTAGGCTATTAGCATGGAGAAAGTTGGGGGTAGAGATACAGAGAGATGAACGAAGTGGGTCGTTCACAAGGAGCTCTGTGGCCGAGTCGCTGAGGTTGGTGATGGTGAGCGACGAGGGCGCAGAGTTGAGGGCCAATGCGAGGAAGATGGCAGAGATGGTGGGCAATAAGCAACTGCACGATCAGTACGTGGATCATTTGATTAGCTACATGCAAGAGAATAGACGTAGTCACGTAACTCGTAAGGCGTGGCCATTGAAACCAGGCAAATAGGGAAATCTGGACTGCATCAATAATGGCCAGATGATCAATATGTTTAGGAAAGAAATACTGCATATGGTTAGATTTGATTTGGGTTGGTTCGATTTTGTATGCAATTTGGACTGCATCTGCATAACAACCCGGAGGAGAACTAAGGTGCCTGATTTTGTGGTTGGGGAAGAGAGTGAATCATGTTTTTAGACTTTAGTTGAACAATAAAAGAATAATCTTGTTCTGTCATGTCTTGCCGGCCGGTATGTATAATTTATAGGGTAAAATACAAAAACCTGGCAATGATAAAAACTTTCCCTATAGTTTCACTTTAATAAAAACCTTTTCTAAACTTTTAAAAAATTCGACAAAAACCTCTCTTCCTTTACTGATCCAGACGGAAAACGTTTAATTGATCCATATTTTTTTTCAAAGTACTATTTTTACCCTTTTATAAAATAGGCACTGAAATAACTAACCGATGAAAAAGGGATTAAGCCGACCAATAACAGTTGTCGGTGAAGAACCATTACTATGGAAACACCTACATTGCAGCATGGCAATCCTCCAAATGCAAGAATAGGCCCTCACAAAAGCATGACTGTGTTATTTGCAAAATGTAAAGAAAACGAATAGAACAGATAGAAAGGACCAGAACGAAATAGAAGAAGAGACCCTTTTCTTTGGAGGAGTTATTTCTTTATGAGATAGAGGGTTTGGAGTTGCTCGTCGAGTTTTTTTCAATGCCTTCCAGGCCTTCTCTTGGTCTAACTCGAACTAGGATTCCTTTTACACAGGCATGCAAAGATGAATTTCTCCTCATGTTCTTGAAATTCTAACCCCCATGATGAAATAGCGAAATAGAGGGTATAACCTTCAGCTTAAAAAAAAAAAGAACAGAGGGAGAGATTAATGGCGGTTTCTGAATTGTGAGAGTTTGTGGAAGCATTTGACCACACAATCCAATTTCTAGAACCAAAGTGACCAATTTTCAGACCTCGAACAATAAAACCCACTACACACAAAATCTCCATTATCTTTTAAAGCATTTATATGCTCATATGAGCATAATCTCCATTGTCTCTCAAGTTTGATGGGACTAGAGCACAACTCTTCAATGAATTGTTGTCGTCTCAATTTCTTAGTGACCTAGTTCTAGACATAGTGAATTAGTGATAAATACAAAGATTCCGTTCCTATTGAGAATCGTGATAAATTTAACTACGGGATCCCAACCCAAACTCTTGCTTTCAAGATTTCATTTAACCGCCGGATCCATTTTCCCTGCTCTTTGGGTCTTTTTTTTTTTGTGGAATACTTTGTTATGTGACTCTATCATCCAATTCTTGAAAAGGAAGCAATCTTTTTTGTTGAATTAGAGTAGAAAGATATATATGGCTTCAAGAACTAATGCCAAGGATATCATCACTCTTTGAGGTTCTATAGTTATCATCAGTGAGTTTTCTTCCCTTTTAACCGTCATTTGGAATCTTCYGCCCTCAATGGTATTTAGCATTAAGTTAACATTTGACGAAGGAATGCCCAGGAAGTTAACGTCCAGCAATTGTTTTTCACGGGCAATTGTTATTAGTTAGTTATTTCAGTACCCATTTTATAGAAGGGTAAAATGGACATTTGGAAAAAAATATGAATCTGTTAAAAATTTTTCTATTTGAGTCAGTGACAAAAGAGAAGTTTCTATCAAGTTTTTTAAAAGTTCAGGGGAATTTTTTATTAAAGTAAAACTATAGGGGAGGCTTTTATAATTATCAGAAACTATAAGGGAGGTTTTTATATTTTACCCTAATTTATATCTGCACAAGAATTAATAGGTGTTGTTTCCAAACTCCATTATTTACATTATTTGAATTGAAGGATTTCTGTGGATGCATATATTCGAATTTGATGCAAATTAAGTGGGGACCAACAAAATCAAGAGATAACTACAAAAATGAAACTTTGTCACAATGAATCTTACGTATCTTCGAATTTTATTAAAGTTTCCAGTTATGAAAAAAATTTTGTATAAGAATAATACTCCAAAACCACCGTATCAGTTACGGGGTCTGTGACAAAGACCTTGTTTTGTGATAAAGACCCTCAAAATTCCTTTTAGTTAGTTTTTAGTTTTCCGTTGAAATCTGTCGTTACAATTTCCATACTACCCTTGTCGAAAATTTTGAAAGAAAAACACTGTTCATCTTCCCCAATTCACCGTACATGAACAACAGATCCACATTTCTCTCTCTCCTCCGATCTCTCTTCTTCCTCTATAGCGAATGTTCCAAAACCCAAATGCAGCAGATTTTATAGAGTCCTGTTCTATTGTCCGCTGGACTGATGGAAGAATGGGCGAAGATGAGAGGAGAAAGAGGAGAAAGAGAGTATGTGTGTGTCTCCTCTGTAACTGTAAGGTCAATCTAAGAGAACCAAAAACAGACGAAAACGAAGATATGAAAAAGATCTCTTACTATTCTTCTCTTCTTCTTCTTCCACTTCCAAGTTGTTGCCTGAATCTTCAGAACGCTGCAACCGAGTTCTTAGCGGAATCCCTTTTAAAGCACCGAATCAAAGCTTACGACATTTCCGCGTTAAGCAGGAGAATCCATTATCATGTTTCTTCTCCTTCTCATCTTCTCTCTCCTAAAACTTCATCGCTGCCTCCATGAAAACGACTTCCATCGTATTTGACGAGGCACACACATACTCTCTCTTCCTCCGTACCGGAGAAGGTGCGACACATGATGAACTACGATTCTCTCAACAAGCCAACTAACACAGTAACACTAATATTGTTCTTCGCTGAGATTTATTCTTTCTAGTTTTTCCCCTACACTTCTTGGAGTAAGCTATTAGAATCAGAGCGTGTGACAGGTGCGGACAGGGCATGAAACACCGCTGCGATAATGGCGTATGGAAAGGGAAAGGCAAGGAGGTTTTCGATTTTCTATTTGACCTGAAGAAGATCTCGCACCTCCTGGAGCTCCAAAGTTTGAGAGAATTAAAACTCTTTCGAGCAGATCTAACTAACGAAGGGAGCTTCGGTGCCGCTATCTTTGGATGCGACATGGTCTTCCACGTCGCTACTCCAGTCCACTTTGCTTCTCCGGATCCCGAGGTAATGTAATGCCGTTGGATCAATTGTATTATTGGGCTATTTTCTTTGTATATATCCTTTTGAGGCAACGCACGGCTACTCTGTCTCGACAACAATGACAAAACGATATTGCTTTTTTTTTTTCAAATTAATAACAAATTAAGGATTAATTTTAGAGTGAATTGTTTAAAACTCCCAAATTAATGTTGTTTGTTGATTGAAACAGAATGACATGATCAAGCCAGCAATTCAGGGAAGGTTAAATTTTGCCGGAGACTCGACAATTCTGCGTGGGACGAAATGATTCGCACCTGGAAACATATCACGGACAAAACCGGATAAGATGCTGAGGAAAATTACAGAAACGCGGTAAACAAAGGTAGAGAATAACAGCGGTGGTAATCCTCGATCTCCCTTTCTTTTTTTATAGCAAAAGATGAGCTACACAAGCCGGGGGTAGCTCTTAGATCCCAATCACAAATGAAAATAAAATCACTAAAACCAAGACCCCTAGCACCCCCCTGCCGAAAAGAGCTTTACGAGCTAACCAGTTTGTCATTTTATTTGCTTCCCGATACATATGTTTGAATTTGATATTTAAGTTGAAGAAGTCCATTAGGTTTCGGCATTCTTTGATGACATTTTCCAATCTCCACGGAGGCGCAAGTCTACCATCGAGGCAGTCGGTAACTAGCTTAGAGTCATCTTCAATGACGATTTTCTGATCCCTATAGTTGATAGTCAAATTAATGGCTTCTCAAGCTGTCCAAGTTCTGCAAAATTGATAGTCAAAATTCCAATTCCAGTAGCTTTAGATTCCAGGACTTTGCCTTGATGATTCCTAGCTATGCAACCAATTGCACAATTGCCACCATTCGAGCAAGAGGCATCAAAGCTAATCTTGATGCAATTGTGTTTGGGCCTGAACCACTCAACATGGGTTACCGTTTTTCTTTTATTGGATTAAACTTACTCTCCCAGTGAGGTTGAGAAAGATGAATAATATTTTTCTTATTATAAAGGTAGTATGAGGATTAAAAAATATTGTAACGGCGGATTTCAACGAAAAGCTAATAGGAAGCTTTTGTCTCACAGTCATAGTACAAGGGGGTCTTTGTCACGGACCCCATAATACAGGGTCTTTGTAATTTACTCTTGTACATACAATAATGTTGAAATCAGAACTTCATCTGTCCAATATTTTTTTTTTATTCTATCGATCCATTAATTTTAAGCTTAAGAAATGAAAACATTTTGACAAAATATAGAAAAACAAAAATAAATCGAGCCAACTCAGTTTAGGCCTCATCAAGCCCAAAATTTTTCAAGCTGAAATTTTAGGAAAACAAAGAGTGATTGTTTTAGGAAAATTTTGTCTTTTTGTACATCGGGTACTTATAATTTCTAAGGTTCAACTATGATGATGAAAAGGCATGATACCAGAAAAACATAAATCGAGGGATCTCTTGTTTCAACACCCTACCAACTTGATTACACTGCACATCTCACTATGAAACTGGGGTCAATTCTAAGCCATATCATTTGTATGCCAATGACTTTATCCAAAAAAAGGCCCATTTTATCATATTCCATTTTATTTTAATTGGTATAATGCCAACTTAAGAAAAAAGAACATTACATTTTGAGGCCAACCTAGTTCAACCCTAAGTTCTAAACCCCAAACCTAACCCTAACCTTAGTCCAACCCGATCGGGTTAACCCAACCTTCTTCCCATCCCTTAAAACTTCATAGAATTTCTTGATTTTAAATCTTAACTTTCACTATATATATTAATTCTATGTTTCATTAGTATTTGTTTATTGATGTTTTTTTTTTCCTTTGACACAGTTTGGAAGGAGTACAAATACAAATATGTACAATGCAAATACATACAAAATAATATAAAATACAAGGTTTTGCACTCTACACATTTGTATTTGCACTCCTTCCAAATTGATTCTTTGGTACAAAATTCAGAAAAACAAGTGTTAGAAAAATGATTATAGTTTATTATGAATTATGACTTATGATTAGGGGTGGCAAATGGGTGGGTTGGGTAAGGGTTGAATACCAACCCACCCATCTTGACCCACCAACCCACCATCAATGCTTGTTGAAGGGTCACAAGCCACCCTAACCCTGACCCACCCATATTGACCCACTTGACCCATTCATATGACCCTTGCCCACCCTCACTCATACTAACCCACCTACCATCATATATAAATACATAAACGGGTCGACCCGACCTGTTTACCCTAAACAACAATTTTTGAGAGATTCAGCTCTCCCGAGACTGTCAAGTGGTATACACGGGGTGGATCGACCCATGTACCCAAAAATAGCATTTTTGATGAAACACCTCTCAATGATGCCACATGGTAGAAACAGGTCGTGTCAGCCCGTATACCCAAAAAAGAACAACTTTTTGAGAGAAACAACTCTCCCGAGATTGCCGTGTGGTACAAACGGGTAAGGTTGATCCATATACCCAAAATAACATAAAATACTAGAATATACAGAAATTAATCAGAAAAATTGCAGAAAATTCACAAAAATGCAGAAAAATAATGGGAAATTACAAAAAATTGTAGAAAATGCAGGAAAATAGCAGAAATTTGTAGAAAATCAGCAGAAAATTATAGAAAAATATCAGGAAATAACAGAAAATTGCAGAAAATATAAAAAAGTTGCAGAAATTTCAGAAAAAAGCAGAAAAATTCCACAAATAGCATAAAATTGCAAAAATTACAGAAAAATGCAGAAAATGCAAAAAAATCAGAAAATTGTAGAAATTTGCAAAAAAAAAATCAGAAATTTCAGAAAATACTAGTAAATTGCAAAAATGCAGAAAATACAAGAAATTGCAGAAAGATACTAGAAAATTGCAGAAAATAGCAGAAAATACTAGGAAGTTGCAGAAAATACCAGAAATTGCAAAAAAAATTATAGAAAATTACAGAAAATTACAGAAAACTGCAGAAAATGCAGAAAATATCAGAAAATTGTATACCTAACTGTTGTTACACATTATCTTCTAGGGTTCTATTCGCAATATACTTTGTTCTGATAAATGGATTTCGCTGATTTCTTAGTTCAACATAGAAACATTAACCTCGAAAACTAATTTACAAAAACAAAAATGAACATCAATTTCAATTTCAGTTAGCAGAAACATATATTTAATGCTGTGCTTAATTTGATACAAATAAGAGAGAAACATATATTTAACCAAAAAAGTTCTTCACTGACTAAGATGTGCCTAAACACGGCATTTAGTTATTTGGTTTCTAGTCTTCTCCTAAAGTTCAGCCTGTCACTTCAAACTCTTGTTGGTATCAGTCGGAATTTTGGTAGGCAAATAGGATCAAGCAGTTCAGGAATACCAGAAAAGAAACTTCAAAATTTTCTAAGTTGGAAGATACAAGTGGATCAGGAAGAACAACGCCCAGATGCTTTGAACTGTTTAAATCCATTTACCAAGAAAGAAAAATGCACCCATCTAGTCACTAAACAGTCTTCAATGTTGAAGTACCACACTAGCTCTTTTCAGACAATATACTTTAAATGAGATTGAAAGGGGAAAGCCTGTTTCACAAACGAAGATTTCCAATGTTGGTCTCCTTGCAGACAATATACTTTTGTTCCACCCCTTGCAGAAATAGAAAATTTTCGCTATAAAAGGCCATTATTCAATGTTGGTCCCAGTGTTCTCATGCTTGTCAGAGATAAATTTCACTGTATTTCAGAAAAAAAACTGTGAACTATGATTGTAAGGTTATATAATAAGTGCTGTTGTACAAACCAGTAAGAGAACTATTGTCTAATAGGTAAAGCACTAAGAGAAAATCTAGAATGCTGAAAGTGCCTTTTCTAAATGCTAAACCGTTTTTCTTCTCACAATATATATATAAAAAAAAAACCCTTTTTCTTCTCACTTGATAACACTCAATTGAACTTCTCCTCGATAATGGTTAAAATAATGCATATTTAGGTAGCCCCTACAAATGGATTTCAATGCCCATGGCAAGACCATATTCTTTTTGTACTTGTAAGTTAGGTCCAAGGAAACCACATGCAGAAATATAG